CAATTTTCGGGTATCGAAAAGGCAGGGTAAGCCTGGCCATACAAGAAGACCCTCATTGCATGCCACTCTTTGTGATAGAGCTGCCAATGCACAGTAGTGTGTTCCACAAGGAAATGGCATCGGATATAGTCCGAATCGCGCTGGAGAGCGAGACCAAGACGAACAAGAAGAAGCTGCTGGAGGAGTTCGTTTGGGCTGTGTATTGTAATGGAAGAAAGGTGGGGTATTCGATTCGGAGGAAGCAAATGTCAGAGGATGAACTTCATGTTATGCAGACTTTGAGGGGTGTTTCAATGGGGGCAGGGGTGCTTCCAAGCCCGTCCGAAAAAGAATATGCTTCAGATGGAGAATTGACCTACATAAGGGCAAGATTTGAGAGGGTTGTTGGATCAAAGGACTCTGAGGCTTTGTACATGATCAATCCAGATGGGGCTGCAGGGCCAGAATTAAGTATTTTCTTTGTAAGAGCTCACTAGCCAGCACAAACTTGATTTCCATTTTCCTTAATCCAGGTTATATTAAAGTTATGTAAACGAAGGTTTTCAGATGTTTGAAATCATGGAAATGTTATATCCAATATGCCAAAGCCAGTTTCTTAGGTTCCCTCTGATACCATGAAATTGGATTTTCCCATGCCCAATATAATTTCTGACTTCAGGCAAAAAAGGAAGCAAATTAAGGGAAGAACAAAAATTGCTATTTGGGCAACAATTAGGAAATAGATTTGATTACGGTGAAAATTGTACACAAATCGCAGCAGAAAACAAAAATGTATCTGAAATCTCATCAATTATTGGTATCAAGGAAATGTCTTGATTGATGATTCCATGAAAATCTCTCATGAAAGAATTATTAACGGGCTGGAAGAATCATTAATGGGCTGGAAAGTGTTTGGACCACACTAGCTAGCCCGGTTTAGGCTTGTACCTGTAAAATTAATGTTTTCTGACCCAACTCCCTTTCCAAGATAAAACTAAAGAAAATTGGAAAAGAAAAAATTTCCTCAAATAATCCCATAATGTTATTTGATTTGAAGGACACATTGTGGTCCACCACACATTTTACTTCAACGATTAAAATTGTTTATTTTTAAAGTCTTCATTCATAAATTATTTTTACAATCACTTAAGACATTTAATTGTGACCAACAAAATAGGCGTAACGGTGCCTCAACAAAACATAAAAATGACAACCATTGATTAAGTGATCAAATGATTTCAAATTCAAATCTTTTTTTTATTTTTTTTGTAATGATGATTTTTGAAAGAATATCAAAAATATAGATGAATCGGATCGTTGAAATACAATATGGAATGGCACCACAAGGGTGTCTTTTTTATTTTCTTGAACCTTAAGCCCTATAAGCCCAAAGTGAGTAACAAGGACAGGAATGGGCTTCGGCGTTGCACAAAGTACAAACCCACAAACCCTCAAGCTTCCAGAATAGCTTCATTCTCATCTTGTATAGACAGATTCATAGACAGAGAGAGAGAGAGAGAGATGGAGGTATATTTTAGTTTGAATATGTTAAATGAAAGATGGTCAAACAGAGTTGTCCAGCAAAACCTGACCCAAAATGAAATTACATAGATTGCAAGCTTATCCTTATTGGATAGAATTGGGGTAGGTTGGTAAAACAACAGAATCTAGTTAGATATCTTCTCTTGTCTGAGTAGTCTCTGTATTTTAATTTGAGCCAATCTGTCGACAGCTTGCATATTGAGTAAATGCCTATGTGACTTATGTGCATATAAAACGACTTGTAGTTTTGTATTTACTTGTTGGATTTGATCTTTGAAGGTTACTGTGGGAAAATATCATTACTAGTCATAACCATGTAGACAAATGGTAGGACTATTCTTTTTCTCTTTCTAGAAGAAAAAGGTTAAGTATGCGGTTCTATGGGACTCCATGTAGCACAAAAGAGAGTTCAAAGTTTTTCCATTGAGAATGTGTGTGTGTTTTCTTTTTTTTGTGAAAAAGTAGAGATTCAATTGAAATCCAAACAAAAACCCATAATA